GAAGTGGAGGGGACTGGGGCTGGCCAGAGGAGATCAGAGTGGGAGAGGGGAACTAGTCAGTGGGAAGCCGAGCTGGCTGGGAGGAGGTCAGAGGCAGTGGGGCTGGCTGGGAGAGGGTCGGGGGGAGCAGGGCTGGCCAGGGATGAAGAGCTGGGGAGAACCGGCTGGCGGGGAGCGGTGCTGGCCCAGGCGCACACAGATCCCAGGGTGCTGCCCATCCCGCACACGGTCCTAGCAGGGTGCACTGGTGATTCCATTCCGTCCCGGCCCCGCCCCCTCCTCTCTACTGTGTAGTTTCGTACAACATGGCTGGTAGACAATATCCGCTCACACAGTGTGAGGATGTCTACCAGCCAGGCAGTATGCAACTGCGTACTGATACTCACAATCAGGGCTCGCCAAGCGGCGGAGAGCCCTGCTCACCAGCCACATGGAAGCACACACTGAGCATGCGCAAACCACACTACGCATGCGCTGACCGCACTGCGCGGCCCTGCCGGGCTAAAATCTACTCACCACAGGCGAGCAGACTGCCTGATTTGTTGAGCCCTGCTCACGATAATAAAACTTACTTAATTAGAAAATACCAGATATTTATATGTCCGGTATTTTCTCAATTTGTTTCCCGGACAGAAAGCTCAAATACCACACTGTCCAGTTCAAAACCAGACACCTGGCTACCCTTCCCCTCACAGTGGCCCAGGGGAGAGAGCCAGGGCTGCCAAGGATGAGGGGAAAGAGGGGAGAGTCGGGGTTGGCATGACCTGTGCCCTGCCTGGAAGTCAGGGGCAGGGGGGGAGAGACAGGGCTGGCCAGGCCTCACCCCCATCCCGCTGATAGCCAGGCAGAGAGCTGGGCCCACCATGGCTTCAGCATGGCTTTGGCCCAGCACAGCTTCAGTACAGCACCTCCTGGCAGCTAAGGACAGGAAGGGAAGAGCCAGGACTGTCCTAGGCCCTACCCAGTGGTCGGGGGGAAAGCTGGGTGTGACCTCGTCCTGGACCCCCTTTCTAGCAGCTAAAAGGGGGCCCAATAGCTGGAGCCATCTGGGAGGGGCCAAGAGCTGGGGCCACAGGGGGGTCCCCCAAGAACAGGTCCTGCCTCAGCCTGTTGTGGGGGAGCAGGGAGACCTGGGGCCAGGGTGGCCTTGGACCCTCCCCAGTACAGTGGGGGAGAGGGGGCGGGGGGGGAGGGAAGAGCTGGGGCCGGAATGGCCTCTGACCCTCCCTGGTGGCCAGAGGGCCAGGGGGGGAGTCTTGGCACCGGCCAAGAGGGGGGTTGGCATGCATAGCGAGCAGGGGGCACAGTCCCCTAGTTTTCTATAAAAAGGCAATTCAATATATAATTAATTGTGTGTTTTGAAGCCGTGGGGGAGAGGGGGCGGGGGGGGAGGGAAGAGCTGGGGCCGGAATGGCCTCTGACCCTCCCTGGTGGCCAGAGGGCCAGGGGGGGAGTCTTGGCACCGGCCAAGAGGGGGGTTGGCATGCATAGCGAGCAGGGGGCACAGTCCCCTAGTTTTCTATAAAAAGGCAATTCAATATATAATTAATTGTGTGTTTTGAAGCCTCAATATTACAAGTTTCTTACAAGTCAAATAATTCAATTTTAAGAGCTTTCTTCCTATACACAAAGAGAAACAGATACTTTTAGTTTGAATAACTTATTTCTGATTAAGATAAAAATAAGAAAAACCTAAATAAATTTCCTATCAAAAAGCACCCAATGCATCTCCCCTCTCCAGTGACAGTCATCAGTAAAAGGAGCACAAAATGACTGCCGATTTCTTTAGAGAGCATAGTCATTGAACAAACAAAGGCATGGCAACTACCACTCCAAAACAGGTAAGGAAAGACAGGAGGCCTAACACCTGAAGGATGTACTCAGAGACAAGAAAAAGGAGAAAGATTAAACTAGTCCCATAACTGTGGCACTGGGAATTAGGTGTTGGGGTTTATAGTTCAGGGCACGAATACGCTATAGGCAGATGGGCATAACCTTGTACCAAGTCTCAGCTTATGTAGAATTACATTTGAACAGAATGATAATGTCATCAGTTCACTTCATTTGCTGTTTGAGACAGCCAACAGTAGGGCAGCTTTCCATGGTTAGGGAGTTAACACACTTATAACAATACTTCCCTATCTCAGTGTAATGTTGAAAGATAAATTTATGAATCCTTACAAGGCACTTTGATGATCAGGACCACAAAAGTAACTTGATAGATAATTGGCAAGTTGTCTTCAGCACGACAGAACTTTTGACCTAAGCTTGCCCGCTCTCTCCATTCATTTTTTTCCAGTTTATTACATATACTCATGTATCCCATGTTCTTCTTATTTCCTATGCTCTCAGCTGCCCTCTGCATCAGCCTATGCAAAAGAACCCCTCACCAGTGTGGAAGGGCTGTAATTATAGAACCTACTGAAAGGCTACTCCACAAACCCTGCCAAGAGCTAAGTGATCTGAAGAATGACTTTGCATTGTGCATCTATATCAAAGTGAAACATTTTTAATCATGACATTTTTTAGATACTCAAAGGTGTTAAGTCCAAAAAACACCTAACTAAGTCCACTTCATTATTTTTCTCAAAGGCCATTAGTTACCAACCACACATCCAAGTTTACAGTTCTCTGCACAATTAATATTCTTTTTGATAAAGTACAAGAAGCATTAAGAGGAATTAAAATAGATAACCTATCACAGATTAGTTTAATCATATGATAAAGTGGAGAAAATGTGTTTTTGAACAAACTTTGAAATGTACAACAGGAAGACTTACCTTGGAAAGCAGCTGCATTATGAGATATTAAAAACTTTAAAGTGGAGCTTGATGTCTGAAGCACTTGTTGTATATCCTCCTTTACTACCATCTGGTATCTTTCTTCCATCTTTTTGGTACAGCATGTTAGGTTTTTAGATGTACAAACCTGAAGATCAGCCCCTAGAGAAAGAAACACACTTTCATTTTCCAAATGTACCATTATTTGTACAGTGCACTGTGCCATAGATGGTGTTCAGCTTCCCTGAAAACAAGGGGGAACATAAATCGGGGTAGCCAGACTATGGCTCAACATGCGGCTCTTTTACAGTTAAAGTGCAGCTCATGGTTCCCCTCCCCCCTTCCAATCCCTTCTTATTCTCCACCTATCAGCCTTGGTGGTGGGGAGCGTGGGACCTCTGCCTTGTAGCAGTGTTGTGGAGTTGAGGCCTCTACCCAGCAGGAGAGAAGGGTCTTGGACCTTCAGTCCCATGGGGCATGCTTGCTAGGCCTCATGACTTCATCAAGAAGAGGGCTGAAAGCCCCAAGCCCTCTCAGGTGCCTCCCCTGGGGTACACCAGCTATTGAATTTCTGAAAATTGACATATGTGGGTGAGAAGGTCAGTAAGGGTGCATCTACACAGCACAGTTACTTCAAAATAACGGACATTATTTCAAAAGAACAATGTACGCATCTACACAGCAATTCCGTTATTTTGAAATAAATTTGAAATAACGGACGGCTTATTCCGACTTCTGTAAACCTCATTCCACGAGGAATAATGCCTATTCCGAAACAGATATTTTGAAATAGCAATAGGCTGTGTCTAGACTGGCAAGTTTTTCCGCAAAATCATCTGCTTTTGTGGAAAAACTTGCCAGCTGTCTACACTGGCTGCTTGAATTTCCAGAAAAGCACTGACAATCTCATGTAAGATCATCAGTGCTTTTCCAGAAATACTATGCTGCTCCCGTTCGGGCAAAAGTCATTTTCCGAAAGACTTTTGCGCAAAAGGGCCAGTGTAGACAGCACAGTACCGTTTTCCGCAAAAAAGTCCTGATTGCGAAAATGGCGATCGGGGCTTTTTTGCAGAAAACCGCATCTAGATTGGCCACGGACGCTTTTCCGCAAAAAGTGCTTTTGCGGAAAAGCATCCTGCCAATCTAGACGTGCTTTTCCAAAAATGCTTTTAACTGAAAAGTTTTCCGTTAAAAGCATTTTCGGAAAATCATTCCAGTGTAGACGTAGCCGTAGTGTGGATGCTCCACTGCTGCTATTTCAAAATAGCTCCTCCCCAGGGCCATTCAAAGTAATTACTCCCTAGTGCTTTCTGGAGCTCTATATCAAGCTGGCATGTCCACATTAGGGGAGCCTGCCTCGGACTAATTTTGAGGCTTCCTTGTACACAGGGTTACCAGATGGTTTCAACAAAAATACCAAACACACTTGACATTACATCACAATCTACATTACGTCTTATTTAGAAAATACCGGGCATTTATATTTTTTTATTTATATTTTCTCAATTTGTTTCCCAAACAGAAAGCTCAAATAGTGGACTGTCCAGTTCAAAACTGGACACCTGGCAACCCTTCCCTGTAGTGTAGATGTGCTATTTCAAAATAAGTTATTTCAGAGTATTTCTTCTAGAATAGCTTATTCTGAAATAAGTGTACAGTGTAGATGAACCCTTAGTCTGGCCACTCTTGACATAGGTGAAAGCATTACCCAAAGCTCTCAGAGATGTCTGATCCTGTTGCAGAAAAAGCAGATGCATGTGAAATTTGTATTTATTTGAATACAGGCAGTCCCCGAGTTACGCGGATACGACTTATGTCGGATCCGCAGTTACGAACGGGGCTTTTCTCGCCCCGGAGGACGGGAGCGGCAGGAGGCCCAGATGCGCCGCAGTCCGCCGCCCCCGTCCTCCGGGGTGAGAAAAGCTGCTCCCCGTCTCCCTGGTCTGCAGGGAGATGGGGAGCAAACACTTGGAGCACGCCCGCATCTTCAGGGAGACGGGGAGCAAAACCTTGGAGCACGCCCGCAGCGGGACAGCCTGGGTGCGCTTGAGCTGTCCTCCTGCGGGCGTGCTCCGCGGCTTTGCTCCCCGTCTCCCTGGTTTGCAGGGA